TAGGATCCAGGGCATGAACCAAGGCAAAAACTGAACAGACAGACTAACAGAAAGACAAGTAATGATCTGGCACTGAAAGCTCAGGCTGAACTGAATATAAACCAGAGGAAACAGGTGAGAGGAATAAATTATAATTGAGGCAGGGAGGGAAAACGACAGGTGAAACGAATGACTAAATAAGGAGGAGCAAACAGGCCAGATCATGACATTTTCTATAATTTTGAGATGTTTGGATAAGCTAGACACCACGACTTTTGAGTAACTTACACTTAACATATGTCGATCAGATAACTTACTTGTAACTTATGGCCCACCTATGAGCATACTCTGGCATATGTCAAGAAATGTTAAGCATGCTCTAAATTCTCAATGTACTTGCCATATGCTGACTTGTACTCAAAACTAAACTGACCCATAACTTATTCAATGTATGCCAGCGTTTTAAGTGACATTTTTCGTACTTCAGGTGCATTCTAATTCGAAGCTTAAACTTTTCATTAGAAGCAATGTTGGTTTTGTGTAAGAAATCACTGGTTTAATGATGCATAAACCTTAACAGTGGGCTGTTAGCTGTTAGGAGACATTGAGAGACAGATGTGACTTCTGCCTGTTAAATATTTGTATGGGGTGAGAAAAAAGAAAAGTCAGGGAAAACATTCCTACCACTTTTGCTCTGGTTTCTAAAGTAGATAGATCTGCAGCACAGTTTGTGTTTAGCTCCTGAAAAAAACCAAAGAAAGGAAATAATTTAATCCCCACTCAAAGACTAAATTGTTTTTTTCAAAGTTTTTCTCTAAAAAATGTTACACAAATAAAGTCAAATGTGAAGTTTGAACATATTTGGACCTTAAATACAAAAGAAGAAATAAACCACCAATTTCATTTACCTTAAAGAGGCAAATGTGAAAAAAACATGTTACAATCCAGTGGAAGTAAAACTCAAAACTCACCACATCTGGACTCCTCGTTGATTTTTCATCTAAACATGTACATATATAAAGATTTAGCTCCAAAGCACAGCTTTTTGAAAATATTAATTTTCCTTTAATATTAAAGTCTGCTCTCACCTTCCCTTTTTATCCACAGCATGATCACTATAACTGTTACTATGAGGGCTACTAAACCCACCGTCACAACGATGTATAACCACAGATCTGCAAGCACAGGAAGGAAAATGTTTCAGCTTTATTTTCCTGATGAAAACACAACTTAAGTATGCAACTTAAGTTGTTTAACTCATGCTTTTTTGTTTAGCGGAAAAGAAAAAACATCAATATAAGAGTGGAAGCAGACTTAATGGAGTTGCTGAAGTGTTTCTGACTGCAGGTAATGTTACGCTAGCTCTTCTTCCTTCTAGATTTGTTGTGGTGTTTACATCCTCACCTGTAAATGTTTAAAACAAAAAAAAAATGCATATTTCCAATTGTTATAGACATTTTCTCAATCCTAATGCAGCTCTTTATAACTCACCAACAGACAGAGGACGGAGGGTAAACAGCTGCTCTCTTTTAGTTTGATCGTCCTTCACTTTGCATGAAAGCTGCTCACGATATTTAGAGTTCTTCTTAGGAAAACTATCTGGAATGACCATGGTAACAGAACATCTGGATTTCCTTGTGATCATGGTATCTTCCACAGTTTTTCCCTCATACATCCAGTCCACTGTGTGTTTGCACATTTCATTTGTTGACACGATGCAAGACAACCAAACATCCTCACCCTCTTTCTTCTCACTCACTGCCGAATAACAAAAAAATAACTCAGAGTCACAAAAAGACATACACAGAATATAATAATGTGTAAACATACTTGTTATGAGAAACAGATAAGCAGCAGCATCATGTTGTTTCATTGAATGTTTAGTTCTGCAGGTGTAGAAACCAACATCCTTATTAGAGACCCCTTTTATAGCCAGAGAGCAATTTTTTGTCACTTTCAGTCTTTCAGGGTTTTTATACACGTGGGTCTTTGCAGAAACAATAATTGTTTCATCTCGCAAATTATTGAACAGCCATGTAGTTTTGTCACATGTATCCTGATAATTTCTCCCGTTATTTTCACAAGGCAGAGTGACATCATCTCCATCTCGGACAACAAATCTGGGTGAAAATTGTCCTGGGACCTCTAATAAAAGGGAAAAAAAAGTAATACTTTCTATATTATTATTTAATGAAATACATTTTTATAAAGTCTGGAGAATTTTCTTCTTGTCTTACCTGTAAGCTGAAGAGCCAGAAACAGAATTACTAACATCTTAACCCACTTGAATTTGCCTTTAATGAGCACAGTTAGTCATGTCTCTTGTCGTCTGCCCCTTAGATCAAGGAAATCCTCTTTCAACTTCCTGTTGCTTGCAATAAGCCGTTTCTTCAGTTAAACTTTGTATGTATGTTGCAAAATGTACACAGGTGGAGCTCATAATCATTTCAAGTTATCTTATTGAATATTGAATGTGAAAAAAAAAAGTTGAAATAGTTTAAATCTAGTCTCAAGCCTCAAAACGTTATTTTTATCAGTAGCTTAAACATGCTGAAGTATAAGACGTGGAAACGGTGATGAAAGGATGGGGGAGAACAACACGTCTCAGACAAAACTTTGCAAGAGTTCAGGTGACATGAAGAAACTGACTTTCTTCAGACTGATGCAGTTACACAACTGGCACATTAAATACATTCAATTCTAAGCACAAAGTTTGGCCCCATAAAAAAAATTATGTGAAAGGTTAGTAGAGACAAAGGTTAAAGCGAAGCTATCCTAGTAACCTCTGTTTTGTATTGCTGGCAGTTATCTTTTTTAGTAGTGTTCAGCTGTTTTTTTCTGCACACCTATAAAGTTAAATGTTTGACATGCCAGATACTACTTTTGGCTTTCGCAGTCACTCACTCTGTGGGTGTAATGAGAGTAAAGGGAGCACCTTTTTCTTTTAAGGACGAGAATGTTCCATTTTGGACAAACAAGACATGTTTGAAGGAAGCCATCTATGTTAAGAAAGAAAAAAACAACCTTAAACAGAGGGGGTTGACTCAGATTTCAGCTTTCAAAAACCTACAATGCAGCAACTGAGTTAATTCCTTCCCATTATCACTGCAACCCCCACCCCCTTTACAGGGGAACAGAAGACCTCGCCTATTCAGCCAGGCCAACAATTCCCTTTAACAACCACCCTTTCACAGACATAGACAGGTATGGGGCATTGCAGGCTAACAAAGAAGCCAAACAACCCCCATTACAAAGGTGTGGACCCGTTCCTCTGTTTCAATTTGCATGTTGTCTAAGCCAAAACAAGGCTTTGTTGGGCTACTGCATAAAGCTACGNATTAACACTTTGAAGACTGTGTTTGCCCGTCTAGCTCAAGCCTCCCTCACCTTGAATCTGGCAAAATGTGAGTTTGCCAAAGCAGTGGTGACCTACCCGGGAAAGGAAGTAGGCCATGGCCAAGTTCGTCCGGTGAATGCAAAGGTGGACGCTATCCTACGCTACCCTGTGCCCACCACAAGACGTGAGCTTCGGCGGTTCTTGGGTTTGGTTTGTTATTATAGATGTTTCTGCAGGAACTTCTCAATGGTGGTGGCTCCTCTGACAAAGTTGTGTAGTCCAAAGGAACCATTCACGTGGACTGCTGAATGTCAACATGCATTTGACTGTGCAAGGTCTTTTCTATGCAGCGCTCCTGTATTGGCAGCTCCGGATTTTAGCAAGGCCTTTAAGCTGGAAGTGGATGCTAGCACCACTGGGGCTGGAGCAGTGTTGCTCCAAGATGGAACCGATTACATCAGTCACCCAGTTTCCTACTACTCAGCTAAGTTCAAGCCTCATCAATTGAACTACTCCACAATTAAGAAGGAAACATTGGCCATGCTGCTAGCTCTGCAGCATTTTGAAGTTTATGTGGGTTCAACAAGTCCCGTTATAGTCTATACAGACCATAACCCATTAGTCTTCCTGAACCGTATGTATAACCACAACCAGCGGTTAATGCGATGGGCCTTACTGGCCCAAGAGTATAGTCTGGATATCAGGCATAAGAGAGGGGCTGAAAACGTGATAGCTGATGTACTGTCCAGGATATAATGCTGCTTACCTCCCTAGAGTACATATGATGCTGAAGTATTAGTTAATGAAGGATTTTACAGTCACTGACCTCTAGGAGCTCTCTTCATGAGAGAGCTCTCTGTTTGTGTTTCAGGTCTTCCTGGCTGTTACAGGTGCAATGTGTTGAAGCTCGTCAGCCACCTCATAAAGAGCTTCAACCCTGAGATGTCAGGCCCCTTCTCTTATTCACTGGGCCTTGATCTGAAGTGATCTTGCTCATGAGCTGAATGTCTCTGTGTGTGTTCATGTTGGACGATTGACTGACTAAAGTTTTGTTTTTCTGTTCACAGTGGAAGCTGGTAGGGGTTCTCTGTTTGTTTTTTTTGTGACCCCTGCAAATTGTAAATAAATCATTTTTTCCTGCTGACACCATCTTTTAGTTTACTGACTTTTGTGTTACACCCAGTGCCAGAATTTACCCTTTAGTGGTCTTAAGGGTGGGGGTTGTAACATAAGTGGGGGCTTGTCCGGGATAGGAATTACTTTTTGAACAGTTTAATTTGGAGGAGTTTTTGGGTAATCCTACCATACAACAGTTTGATGTCTGTAGAAAAGATGATTTATATGAAATTGCTTCACATTTTGGTATCCGTGTCTCTAAGTCTTTGCTTAAATGTGAACTGAAATCTATTGTCTTCAGTGGCTTGGTTGAGAAAAGAGTACTCCCAGTGGGAATAGATAAGGAGGAGACCACCTCTTCTGAAACTGCTGATCAGTTTGAGGTTTGTGCTGAGGAGGGAGTGAAGACACCTCCTGATGCTGCCAAGCCAGAGTTTGAAAAACCACCAGCCTCTCTCCCACGGTTTGAGCCTTTCTCTATGGAGTCCCCAAATCCTAGTGTTGAGGCACGTGTAAAGGTACGTCTGGTGCAGCTAGAACTTGAAGCTAAGGAAAGGGAACGGAAGGATAAATTTCAGTTCAAGCTTAAGTGCAGAAGAATTGAAGCTGAAACTGCAATCAAAATGCGTTAGCTGGAGCTGACAAGGGAAAAGGGAATGTTATTTGACATGGTGCCAGACAACTAAAGTTACTGAAAGGTTCAATATTTGCTAGAAAATGGCATGGATATACAAAGTCATAGCTCCTGGAGCTCTCCTTGTCTTCTGACACCAAAGCCTGATGGTTCCCAACGTTTTTGTACAGACTATCGAAGAGTAAATGCAGTTACGGTCCCTGATTCGCACCCATTACCTTGCATGGAAGACTGCATAGACAGCATTGGTTCTGCCACCTATATCACCAAGTAAGATCTGCTGAAGGGGTACTGGCAAGTTCCCCTAACTGCAAGGGCTTCTGATATTTCAGCTTTTGTCACACCAGACCACTTCCTACAATACACAGTGATGGCATTTGGAATGCGAAATGCACCAGCTACCTTTCAGCGACTGATGAACACTATATTAGGAGACATTAAGAACTGTAATGTCTATTT